TTCAGACAATTTGGCCTTTTCTAGTTAATGCTGTGTGGTGCAGAACCCATCTTGTGTATCTTCTGTCTTACTGTTTTATCATAGACAGTTATAGTATGTGTTAATATGCCCTGAAGATGAGATAATTCAATTCTCTCAGCCAGGAAGACTAGTTACAGAAACCGAGGAGACTTCAGAGTAACATGCATATGATTGTTTTTTCTTAATGTAGCTTTTCAAGTCTTGCATTTCAGCCAGTTCTGCTGTTTTTAAAGGTGTTTGCCTTTTACCTCGAAAGGCAACATTTTTGCATATGATCATTGAGTGTGTCTGCAGGACTCCTCCTTTACCTGCAGGCAGTTCCTCTCTGAGTAATCTGATGTCTGTCCACTGCCTAAGCAGCCCCCCTTCCCACCTTCTAGACCAGTTTCTTCTTGTTTGATCATAATCATTGCTGTGCTCTTGGCAGGGACTTTGTATATTGGAGCAGTCAGGCTGCTGTATGTGTGCTAGTGTGGACCCTTGTAAACCATGTCATGAGTTGAATGGCATGTGATTATGAGCAGCCAGACTTGCCTTGTAATCTGTTGTGGCCTGTTCTACCAGGTATTCTCTCTAAGGGAAGTGAGGGTCGACATTTTAAACAAAATGTTGATGTGATGCCTTAAACATCCTCCTCGTTCACTGTTCTGTTTATTGCCCACATAATCTGGTGTAGTCTCTCCTCTACACTCACATTATTTTCAGCTTCAGTTCTGTTTTGAAACACACTGTAACTTCACAAGTCAAATGAAAGCCACAGTTGCATCTAATGCTGTGGTCTGAATAGAGCTGAGCTTGTCTCTCAGCCCGGGCCCTGGGATTCTGAGCTTTCCCAGTGTCAAGGTTTTATGTCATTCACCATCAGGGCTCCTAGCATCCACAGACCATCATGAGCCCATCTCTTGGTAACAGGCTTTGTGTATGCTGCAGTGGTCGGGTTCTGACGAGGAGCAGGGATGTTTTGACATTTGACATAAATAGATTGGCTTACGTCTCTCGCTTTTTCCCCCCTCTGGTTTCTGCTGTCTGACAATTAGCACTGCAGGCTCAGGCTTGCATGGGCTGTTTCTTTGGCCTCCGCTTCCTGTTTGTCATAAATGTGAGAGGCCTGTACTTACAGGAGAACCTAGACTGTTGCCTGTATCTGTGTCATATCAGTTCATCTTTTAGCTGAACGGTTCAATAGAAAGATTAATAGAGACATCATGTGAATCAGACTTAACAGGCTGCATCACATTCTGTGATGAACTGTGCTGTTTTTGAGCTTTTAGGTGATCAAAGTGTCAAACACTGATCACTGCATGTTGGCTGCACTTGCTCAGAGTGCACTTTAAGCTGTAAAGTGTGGATTGCCTTGAGTAATGTTTAACATCATGTGAAACTCATCTGTCTAGTCTGACTTCTGTACAGAATGTGCTTTTTCATTTGCACCTCAGTGACACAGAGTCTCCAGGCCATGACATTTAGTTAACTGTCATTTAATTGGCATCAAATTCATTCAATATGTGATATGAAAGTACTTCAAAGGTTATTCAAAGAACTTTGTTTAAAGTAAATGTAGATTACACATTATTATTTGCATTCTCTAGACTCCATGTAATGTATACAAATGAAATACACTTGGCAGATTGAATAGTCTAACAGTTGGACATCCCAGTCACTTGGATCTACATACTTGTCTTAATCACCTCAGAACAAGGAGAGGTGGAGGTAAAAAAAAAAAAAAAAACAGGGAGGACCAGAAGTGTGAGCTGGGCGTATGTCACACAGAAGGCATTTCTCTTTGTTTTGTTTTTTTTGCTCAGAATGGAACACAATGGCTAAGTCGGTTTTTGGTGAGTGTCAGATTTCCACCTCCTGGAACCATCTGCTTGTACACTGCTGAGATAGTTGAGGCTTTATGTACAGACGAGTTAGCTACGCTTCAAAACTGGTTCAGTGTTGCTGAGCCAGTAACCTGAAGGACCTTATTATATCCATCTGTGAGCTTTAAAGGAGCATTAGGTGAAATTTGGATGTTTGTGCACCACTGTGGCATTTGAGTAGTGTTTAACTGAAGCATACATGTACATGAACCTCAAGGCTAATGAAGTCAACAAGAGCTGAGTGGAGTCAGGAGATGGCAAACATGGAGCCTAGACATTGGAGCTGCTGGTTAGAACTTTGACTCATACAAACACTTAAACTTTTTGAGTTTGCTGTTCGCAAGAAACAACAAGCAGAAGAAATCTCAGACAGTATCAGGAATTTCTGATTTACATAAAGCTGGTAATGTCAACTCAAACATTTTATGTATTTATCAGTCTGCAGTTACACAAGATCACAGTGGTTACAAACCTACTACTACTACTGTGCCTATGAAGTTAGCTTTAGCAGAGTTGCACATTTGGTTTTTCTTTTAAAGAGACATGCGTGTTTGTCCTCAGATCCACACTGTAGGGTTCACAGGTTAAGACCACAGGAATTTTCCTTTGAGTTGCTGTATGCTTCCTTTTTTTTAAACCAGCAGTACACAGCCTTGGAAATAATTTATTTGGCCTTTTTATTCCTCTTGACAATAAAAAACAGTACTTAAAGACTCTTGGCATAAACTGGTATAGGGATATACATTTATGCTGGTGGTTCTTAGATCTGTTTACAGATGCCCAGCAGGTGAGACTGTGCTGGTGTACAAGCCACAACACAGGAGGCAGTAAAACATTTTAGACCTTTTAAAACATCCTGGCTGTGTTTCTGCTTATTCTTCTCCTGTGGTGCCACTTGGTAACTCAGAGCTACTTTGTTATTGGTAATCAGCATATCACTATGTGCAGAGGCTGAGCTTTGCTCACAGGCTACTGCTAAATTTGCTAAAACATGTCTAACATTTTCTTTCTTTAAAAAAAAAAAGGGCATATGCAAAAACACCCACACAGTAATCCACTAGCACACAGTATAAGTGGTTTATAATAGGTCATTATTTGTATGTTTAGTGGTGAGAGCTAATTTAAAATGGCTGTTGACTTTGACACAATAAACCACTTATCGTACCTTTCAGTTACAGCACAGCTTTCCTACCATTCATTGGAGCTCTAAGCTGAACATCTAATTGTGCAGAACAAAAATACAGGAAGGGATCATTCAAGGTCATTATGTTCCCATAATGAAGAAGACATTGTAGAGTCACTGGGGAATTGCAGATGCTTCCTCCCAGCAAGCTTTTGCTTTATATCATCCATTACTAGTTGTTAGCTTGTTATGCTAATACAACATATTAAACACTCTGAGTCATTTTCCCACTGGAAATATGTTGCACACAGACACTCAGACTATTTGCACAGAGAAGCAGGTTTTTTATGAGTTACATTCAAAAATGAATAAACCAGACATGAACCTAAAGCTGTAAGTGATTAACTCCGAAGTGAGACGACATTTTCACTGGACCTATCGATTGGCAGAAGTCTACTGTGATATTGCACGCACTGATAGGTGATGTGATGCTGCTGTACTTGACTGTAGTAGTAGCACTGTATAAGGCTGTTGTCCATTGTAATGCTCTGGCCTACAACAGGAATCCCTGTGCTGTAGCATACAGCTGTGTGTAGAAGTTTGCATCCCCTTAACTTTGAAATGGTTGAATGGTTTAAAAAGAATAAGGTGAATGTGTTGCCATGGCCTTCCCTGTCTCCAGACTTAAATATCACTGAAAACATGTGGATCAATTTGAAGAGGACTGTACATATCAGACGATCAAGCAGTCTGGTAGACCTTGAATAGTCATACCATGAAGAATGGGTAAAATTATACTTGAAAGGTTGCAAACTCTGCTCAGAGGGTACCCAGGGAGGTCGGAGGGGGTTAGAGAGTAATACAAAGTATTAGAGAACAGGTGATAAAGGTGGATGCAAACAATATGATTTTCATTATTGTAATATAACTTTCTTTTTATACATTCCCCGACCATTTTTGTTACTTCTGTTCATAAAGGAACATTTGTAACAGCTGAATGTGCATTAAATATTGATGAGAGAACTTTTGCACTCAACTGTATTTTTGTTTTGTTGACCAGTTTCTGGTTCCTGGACTCCTGGCTGGAGCTAATGTCTATAGACTGATTTATAATACTACCGTTGATAAACATTTACCTCCTAATAAGGGTGTGACAGCACGCGATACTGGGTTCACGAGAACAAGATAAGAAGATAACACTATTTTTAGGAAATCTTCAGTGATGAAATATATGACTGGAAAAGGTGTTTTATTCGACTGGAAATCACAAAATGCAAAACAGCGCAGGTGCATTTTGAAATGTTTGAACTAATCAACGTGTAAAGAATGTCACTTCAGTTCTTCTTCAACATCATCTGAGAAAGGCACTGACCAGTTATGTATGGGCGGCGATCGGGGACGTAGACGCTTAGTACTGGATGTTGTTGTTTTTTTTTTTTTTCCTTCTATAAATGCCGACATACTGGTGGTAGAATTGGTGCTAAGGTAGAGTAGGCTACGTTAGCAGCATGGCTAACCAAAACCCAATGGAAGGTCCCAGGCTGGAAAAATGAATGAAGCCACTTGTGTCGACTCGTCCCAACGTGGCCGTATCGTACGCACCTACAGCAGCCCCTTGCATTAAAACACAGCAAGGAGATGAACGTATGGTCACACTCCGTCATACTAGCCTTGATCTGTTATGTACTGATATTGCAAGACAGCTTTTGCCTCGATGAGAAATATGGTCAAGCTTTAATATTGTGAGAGATCTCATCACATCCCTACGTCCTAATGTTAAAAAAGTGCTGTCCCTTTAAGATGTGTTCATATTCCTGAAATTTGACCATTTATTTCAATCTGTGAAAGAACCCTGTTTATGTTTGCTATCTGATCACTGATTGTAAAACATCATCTAAACAGGTTCTGTAAATTTTCCTTTCAGAGCTATTGCTTAAGTTTTAACAGGCACCAGTAACCCTCCATCTATTCCATCTTGACCTCTGACACAGATTTATTGCCAGCACCTGTGCCCAGAGACTCCACATTCGGGAAAGTGTGGGAAGAAGAGCTCAGCCCAATGCAGTGCTGGAGAAAGTGTTTACATCCATCACAAAGGTGGGATTTCTTTTTCAATGTCTTTCCTTGGACAAGTAATAGTTGCTGTTATGCTGCATTTACGTCCTTGGACAACTCGAGAAGGCCTTTTGATTACAGAGCTGGTCATGATGTGAGGTTCAGAAAATACAATTACATGACAATTTAATACTATATTCAATAAACTACAAGCTCAGTTATAAAAACTGAATCCAACCAATGTGTTGCTAGTGGTATTTATCTAACTGTGGCAGTGACTTTTTTTTTTTTTCAGGATTGTTGCTAATACATCAGGTCAGTTAACAACATAGTAAAAGTAACATTGTCTTTAATGAAACTCTTACCTATAGATAAGCATGTCTAAAGAACCTAATGTTTTGCACCTGCATAATTTCAAAATTTATAAGAATGCATATTGTATCAAACGGTAAAGAAAGTCACTTTCGGCTTTTCCCGTTTAGGGGTCGCCAGAGCGAATCGTCACACTGACGACTCGCATGTTGACATTCGGCATGCGTTTTTTACCCCGGATGCCCTTCCTGATGCAACCCTGATTCAAACCTGGGGCGCAGCGCTCTCGCCGCTGCGCCTTAACCACTAGCCTACCAGGGACGGCTGCATATTGTATCAGACAGTACTGATTCCAAATCTACATTCACAAACTGGGACTTGTCTGCCTTTACTGTAAATCAGAAATACACTGTATTCTAACATAGAATGTAATATTTCCCAGGACTACAGGCCCAATCCAAAACCTTTCTGTCATGAAATCATAGGCAGGGCTTTAGTGGAAAGTGTTGTTCTGATACTAAGTTTGAATTTTTCTACTTCATTAATTCTGTCCTTGTAACATGAGTAGAAAATGTGGCCCTTCTGTTGAGGCTGCTTGCAGGTTTCACTGAAGCTTTTTTAATGATGCTCTCTGACAATAATATTTGTATCTGACTTCACATGTACTTGCTGAGTTTATCTTGAGTTGCAGAGAGTAAAGCCTGAATACTACATATGAGCAAAGCTGCAATATGCTAATGTATGACTGGGTGCTGTATAGTATAACAACTGTTGAGCTCAACATAAATGTTTGACGTTTGCTGTTTCTTCTCGTTCTGCACAGAATCCAGACTCTCGACATGTGGATGGCCTGTCCAAACAGCTTGACTGGGAGGTGCAAAAGATCCAGCGTTGGTTCAGACACCGTAGGATCCAAGAAAAAGCCAGCACACACACTAAGTCCTGTGAGAGCATGTAGGTTAATGCCCATTGTGTTCACCTTTATCTCTCTGCAGGCTCGAGCACACAGTGGTTGTTTTTTCTGTGTGGGTGTGTTTTCATCGTGTGTGTATAAGTATGCTCTGGTATTTGTGAGGATTGACTTTCAGACCACCACATTGAGAACATTTTGGCTGGTCCTTCAAGGTCAGTCTTTTGTTATAACTTTGATTATAATTAAAAACTAATCAACTAGCACAAAGGTTGTAACAACATACTGTATGTATGCTACTGGTTGGGGTAGCTGATTTCTCTATAGCCCTATCAGGTATGAACTGGAACCTTGAAACTCTCTAGACGTTACCCAGGGGAGCCGCATGTGAGAACGCAAATGTCCAAGTCAGTCGACCTGGACCTTAAGCAGACTTTACTCTACCAGCTCCCTAGTACAAAGTCCGAGCGAGAATACAGCATATAGTCGGGTGTATTCACACGGAGTTACTGAGTTGATGACGTTCTATCAGTGTGAAACTCAAAGAATACAAACATCAGATGGTGACGAACACGGTAAATTACAATGAAGATGGGCATCAAAAATAACTAACTGGAGACACCACGTGATTCAGGGACTCAGACTCAGTTGTTTATGACCAAATTACAAATAGGCTGTGTGACACTCCTCCAGCTCTCGACACAATCTTGGGCTGATTCCACAGACATACACTGATCAGCCATAACATTATGACCACTGGCAGGTGAAGTGAATGACATTGACTTTCTGTTACAGTGGCACCAGTCAGTGTGTGGGGTATATCAGGCACCAAGTGAACATTCAGTCCTCGTAGTTGATTTGTTGGAAGCAGGAAAAATGGGCAAGTGTAAGGATCTGAGTTTGACAAGGGCCAAAGTGTGGTGGTAAGATGACTGGGTCAGAGCATCTCCCACACTGCAGGTCTTGGTGGGTGTTCCTGGTCTGCAGTGGTTAGTACCTACCAACAGTGTCTAAGGAAGGGCAAATGGTGAACTGGCAACATACTGTATATCACACCTAGAATGGTGAGGCTGTTGGATTGGTCTAAAAAAGTCAGTCAGTTTTCACTCCTTTTACAAAAGTTTTTCACTAAATTGTAGACTCATCTGTGCTCTTCCTGACAGTAGAACTGTGGAAGCAAATGGATTCACAGAAGATGCACAGTGAGCTGCAGAGTGACACGAGAGCCAACTAACTGCCACACTGACTCCTATGTAAACAGTATTAGGCAGGTGGTCATTATGTTATGCTTGATCGGTGTAGTGTGAAAACGGCTTATGTTTGATTTTTAATGCGTTGTTCCTCTCTTAAATCAGATTTCCTGGATCATAATTTCTTCCCTTTTTTCTTCTAGGTGGAGGTTTACATTTTATTTGGTCATATTTATCTATGGATTCCACTTTTTGTGGCAGGTGAGCACACTCACATGGTGATAAACGGGTTTAGTTTCATTTTTTTAATCAATGTTTGATTCACTGGGTATATTTCCATATATAATAGCATCATTGCTTGTTTGCTGAACTAATACATGTTTTCTTTATTTCTTTTTAGTGCCCTTGGTTGTGGGATACACGGCATTGCTGGTATGGTTACCCCTATCAGGTACGATGCACTTCTAATCTCTAAATAATCCGTAAAGCGACTTCAGTCACAGACAGGCCCACTGATCACATTTCCATCTTAGACCAACTCAAGTTGCAGGTTCACGTGCAGATTACAGCTGTAAAATTCACATATGTTTCATACAGTCATAAAGGCTTCGGTTGGGCTAGTGCTCATTCAGGAGTACAGAGACTTCAACCCTCACACATCTCACCCTCATTCATCTGCTTTTCTCCTGTTATATGAGTGGAGCAGGATGTGATGATTTGCATTATTGTTGCTCAGTGGTGATGACATGATATCACATCCTTTCACTCCCATCATGGATTGATATCCAGTATAGTCTGTTTAAAAGAAAAATGCTTTGATATGACTAAAATGTTCCTTTAAACAGACTCTCTGAACCTGCCCCTGCTCATCCTCTCTCTCTTCAGGTCATGACTCCTGGTCTTTATCACTACTATATGATCGAGCTGGCTTTCTACTGGTCACTCATGTTCTCCCAGTTCACTGACATAAAAAGGAAGGTGAGAAGAACAACACTGACTCTGTTTCTGTTTGGCTACTCCGCAGCTGCCACGCCCTGATTTGTTAATCCCTCTATTCTTCCTCATTCGGCAGTTAGAATGTTTTTCAGTTCTAGACCACAGTGCATTAAGATTAAACCTGACTTGTAAGTTTGCTTTATTACAAGCTCTTAAAATGATGTTAATTTTTGATGGTGACATGTTTTTGTTTTTTGAGAGGGGCGGGGTGTGGCTGGTGTTGCTCAGTCTGTGAATGCTTTGTATTTTCCGCACAATGGTGCACGTTGTCATGTGATTGTTGGATGACAGATTCCACAGAGTACCAACATACCAGACCTGGAGTTATTTACAGTTACTTACCCTTAATGTTTTATTAGATGTTTTCTATAGTACGTAGCTGTGGCTCAGGGGTAGAGCGGTCATCTTCCAGTTGGAAGGTTAGTGGTTGGTGGTTCGATTCCTGGTCTTCCTAGTCCACATGTAGAAGTGTCCTTGTGCAAGACACTGAGCCTCTAGTTACCCCTGGTGGCCAGGCAGTGACTAACAGCGCTGCTATCAGTAAGAAATTTCCCCACGGTGATTAATAAAGTATAGTAAATTACATTAAAATCAAATACAGCAAATGTCTGGACTGTGGCATTAGAGATGTAGGTGTGTGCTGTTTGTTTTAATTTGACTGCTGGATGTGCTAAGAGGCAGCTGGCCTGGATTAACATCTGGTTAATTAAATGTTTTTCTTCATGAAATGAAGCTCCTCAGCTGATTGTTTCAGAGGATGTGTATTCATCAAGCTAAAGGCCTTTCTCACATTTTAATCTTTGCTCTCAGTGCCATTGTGTTTACTTGCTCTAAATCTCAAAGGTGGTGTGTACATTTGCACTTTAAAGGTATGTCCAGACAAGAAAAAGAGCCAATGTTCATGCGAGCAATAGTGATTCTCAAATCTGAACTGATGAATTCCTTTTGAGAGTCTATAAAAATGGATATTGCACATCACTGGCTCAAGTTTTGTAGTCGTGCTTTTAGTGTTTATTTAATATTCCACCATCACGGGATATCAGCTTCGACTGCTCTTGTTTTAAGAAGAAAACAAAAAAGTACAATTATGTTTATGGCATTCTACACAGTTCACTAAAGTGAACTGTGTAGAATTAATTTAATGAAAGAATAAGATACCGTTGAAAGTAGTAGTAGTAGTAGGTAGTTTTGTGCTAATTATGGAGCAAATAGAACACAGCATATTCATTTTAAGAAAAGACATCTATAATTCTTTTTTCTCTTACCAAACCTGTTGCAGACCTCTGTCTGTCTGCTTTTGCACTCTGCTGCTGTCAGCCCTGATGATTTGACTCTCAGATGTATGTACATCTCCAATCTTAGGCTTTGCTCTTATGTCTCTGCCTGTTTGTGTAAAACAACCTAAGATAAACAGTTAATCTTTCATTCATATCTTCTTTCTCCATCCAAGTCTGGAAACAAGGAAACATGTTCTGGATTTTAAGAGTATATTCCTTCTGTGTTGCCATCTTTAGCTGATAGAAAAAAGATGCAGCCAGACACTTAAAAACACACAACTGATCATATATCACGTCTTTTATGTATGTGTCCATTTGATTTTAGCAAGGTCTACTGTGCAGGCTTTTATGTTCATATGTCTAGACTGGATTATGTAACAAACCTTAACAAGTGGGCCCTTGTTGAGAGTAAAGATGATTGTGTTTGTTGTCACAACTCCCTGCCTATGTAATTAAAGCACATTTTTATAAATTTGCATCCCCAGAGTAGCTACTACTTTCAGTTTGGTCTGTCTGTTTTCTTAGATGGTGTATATAGTCTTGAATGTAATTTACTTGCATTAATTGTTTATTATTTGTGCTTGATCACCACTTAAATTACTACCTTACTGTTTTGTAATCTATCATTTGTTTACTAGGTTATTTCATGTGGATTTTAAGACATTTTGTTAACTATATTTTTAAAATCGTATGTGTTGTTATTATAGCTATTTTAGCAATGTGTCAGTCACAGTGCCTTGGTAACACAACAATTAATGGCTTCACAAGCACAACGCAATGGTGGGTGGCTTCACAAGAATCGAAGTCTAGAGTCGAACCAACAGCTTTGTGACTGTGCATTAATGTCTGCGTGCTTAAAAAGGTCACAGTGACAAGTATGTTTACCATGTTCAATGTCTTTGTTTAATGTGTAAGCATGCTAACATTCGCTAATTAGCACTAAACACAAAGTACAGCTGTGGCTGAAGGGAATGTCCTTAGTTTTTCAAGTATTTAGTCATAAAGAAAAGTATGGACAACACAGGATAAATACACAGGTGAGCATTTAGTGTACATGTACAGTATGCTAACTCTCTCTCCTTTTAATTTCAGGACTTCCGGATTATGTTCATCCATCACCTGGCTGTAGTTTGCCTGATCAGCTTTTCATATGTCAACAACATGACGCGAGTAGGGAGCCTCGTGTTGTTGGTCCATGATTCCTCTGACTTCCTGCTAGAGGTCAGGTAGACGCAGCAGAATTGATAGTACCATACTGGTGGTTTGTGCATGTTTAAAGCAACTAAATACAAATAACCTACACTGTACTTCACTTTATTTTTGGATCATAGATTACCGTAATATTTTAGACTGGCATTTTATTACCCATATACTTAAAACCTTAACAGCCTTTCTGGAAATGTAAAGCAGGAAACCTTGTCTGATGTGAAACCAGAACAGTGTTTTGCCATTTTCATGTACATCTGACAGGAATTACCAATGATATGTTGATAAAGTATAAATTGTGTACTGAATATAGTTGTGTGGTAAAGTCCTCACAAAAGTTATCATAATGTTTTACTCTGTTGTTTTTCTATGTCAACAGGCAGCCAAGCTTGCCAACTATGCCAAGTACCAGCGCCTGTGTGACTTCCTGTTCATTACGTTTAGTGTGCTTTTCTTCATCACACGATTTATTATACATCCATTATGGTGAGTGCACTGTGACACCTGCAACCTCAGAATGAAACTAGGCACTACTCTGCCATATTTACCAGTTTGTTAATCCAAATTCATTGTGGTATTTTAAAGTGGATTTTCATGTTAAAGTAATAACCTGCATTGTTGCAGGAAATGTTAACATTGTTTTATGTTAAATCTGTCCAGAGCGTGTCAATTTTTAAAAAATTATATAGCTGGTCTACAAATACATTTTACATTGTTCTTATACTGAAAATGTGCACTTTAATGTTTTAATACTTTTATTACATTTGCCATTTTTCTTTAAAATTCTCCTTTAAACAGTGTCTAATTCTTAGTTTCTATTCTTAATATGCCCCACATTTTACTGCACATATTGAAAATGTAACCAATAAATCTTTGACTTTTGAGTCTAATATTTTAGCTTAGATTTTTGTCATTTCGGTCCATGTTCTGTAGCTGTAACTAGTAACAGCGGTCAGAAACACACAGCCTATAGTCTGTACTCCTTAAATGCATGTCTGGTAACCCAAGAATGAAAACCACCATTCTCTGTTTAGAAATAATGATGTGATGCAATCTCCACTAGTTTGTAACTACGATGAAGCAATTTCCAGTTCACCTTCAGTCTGACTCACAGATTCCTCACCAGAGCACTGCTCAGATCTCTGGTAATGTTTAGGCTTGGGGAGCTGTTCAGATGGCAACTGTTCCTCGACAGAGACCTGGAAGCTCAACCTCCAGAGAGACAGACAATAGGGAACCTGTCAATGATGAAAGTAACCTGAGCAGCGATATTCAGTGTCTTGGTGTGGGTGAGTGGTAAAGCTAGTGTTGCTGGTGAAGCTACGTGGACTGAAACCCATACCTGTTGTGAGGGAGGTGGGGTCTGATGACCTCCTGCCACTCAGCTGGATTTAGAGGAAGACTTCACCTCAACTGCTACTTGCCAACAGTACATCTGTGTCACTGACTTGCTCGGTTGCCATTGGTTTCCAAATGGGAATTACCTGTACTGGTATAATGGGTCTCCTTAGAAAAGAGCTGCTCAACAGTTTGATTCAAGTACAGCATGACAAATCTTTCCCCCAACTGGGATAAACTGTCTATTTACTGTACCATATTTATTATACATATAAATGTACCTTGACATGTAGATCTATTCATCTGATTGTTTTTCAGGCTCCTGAACAGCACGTTGTTTGAGAGTTGGGCCATAGTAGGGCCATACCCGTCCTGGTGGCTCTTCAACTTCTTACTGCTGGTCCTCCAAGTGCTGCATATCTTCTGGTTCTACTTCATAGCCCATGTAGCTGTCAAAGCCATGATGCACGGCAAGGTGGGTCACAGGATTATCACTAAGAAATGCTGTAATGTAGTGCCAAAATAATCAATAGATGAAACAATTAGTCAAATGACTCTTTTGTTCTTTATGCTAATAGAAGAAAATCGCTAGTCCCAACATCTTATATTTAAATATTTGCTGCCTTTCCTTTTGTAGTCTTGTGTGATAGTAAATTATGTATGTTTGGGTTTTGGACTTCTGGTCAAACATAATACATTTAAATATGCCACCTTGGACTCGGATTAATTGGAAAACCCATGAGGGGTTTAACTTCATAGACGTCCAAGCTTTTCTTGCTCAACAGCAGTTGTTTTTCAGCTATAGAGAATGTGAAGTCGACGTCATGCCGTGTTGCAATTTCAGGTAAATGTGCCATGTTTGGAGAATCACACTCGGTATCAAAGACTTATACACTACATGCACCTATAAGTTGATTTTAAAAAAATAAATACTATCCCATAATAGAAAATACAGTATTGGATGCCTCAACTACGTCCACTTTAGTGTTCAGTTTGAGCACAGACAGGACAGAAATCGATTCATCTGTAGTGTTTGTATTATCTGCCGACAACTGCTAGCTAGTGTTAGCTCCTGAACAAAGAGCTGAGATCAGTGTACAATCATATTTCAGTCTGTCATTCTCGTAGAGGGGATCTCTAGCTCCGCTGCAATTCGGCTACAGACAACTAAGATTATTATCTTGAATTACCACAGTCAGTAAACTGAGATCTAATTGGTTTAAGCAACTTTTAGCTAAACAAAATAAGAATGAATGTAGGTAAATACAGTGTATACCTCCGAAATGGTGCCCCCGTCCCACCATCTATCATGGCGTAACATACCTTAAAACTCTGTTAGAACATAAAAGTAATCGTCTTGTGGCAGGGCGTCTTTAGTTCTCTTGCACCTGCTAATTTCACATCACCACACTGCAGATGCTGAGACCTGTGCAGTGTCCAACGATTTTAAATTTTTCACATGATTCTTAACTTTATCAACACCATTGTGTAAAACAAAGAATCACAAAAGGTTGCAATCTAATGACCCCAAGATCGCTGCTCCAAACTTTTGCAGGGCCATAACAAGGCAAACTACTTATGAATAAATGTGACAACAACAAGAGCAGTGTTACAGCAGCATCCGATCAGTGAAACAAAGAATTGTCCCATTCAGGTCACAGAATGTTTATTGAAATGTACAGAATAACCCCACAGGTATTTTTGGTGATAAATGTGCTGCCTCTTCACTTTCTTCCAGTCTATCCACGACTCTGTCTCATCTCTCTGCAGACGCAGTTTGTTTCCTCTCCCTCTGGGATGGGGGAGGGAACCTATCTTTCTGTCTGTCTTTGTCCACTGAGACCTCCACTACTTCTCTCTCACTTCTCTTCACTTGCTCTGTCCGCTTGACAACTTTACCTTCTCTGCTTTTGGCTGTAAGTTTCTTCACTCCCTCTGTTGTGAATTCCCTTCACATGTCTTAATTTCATCTGTCCCATCCATTTCCCTCAAGTGTAGTTACAGTGGATTTAATTGGACAGCTGCTGTAGTACAGCAACATTTAGATTCAACTCCTCTCACAAAGCCAGCAGTAGGAGGAGAGCTGTAAATGCTAAATAATGTGGTAATAATGCCATGAATGCCAGGTATGTCCAAGTGTTTCTCATTAGTCAGGAGCCACTGAAATTGTCCCACACCACCACCCTGTGGTTAGAATGAGCCCAGGTGATTTGTATGAACAGTAAGAACTTTGTGTCCCCCTTAACATAGGCTAGCAAGAAAGACAGACTCAACAGTTTTCAAAACATTGGACTGGCTCCAGATACAGTATATCACCGACCAGCAAAAGGGGAGCCGTACAGAATAACATTACTACTTGATGGAAAAGGGCTTTAACTCACAGGTAAATAAATATAGACCCTGTTTAAAAGATGGTTCCAATTAGCAGCATTTGTCAGCTGGAAAAGATCTGGAACATCAGCAATTTTCCCATTTTCTAAGAAGATTATCATAACGGCCAAATAATCTGTGCCCAGACTGTAGGTGCATGTATAAAACCAACAAGAAAAAAGATTTTAAGAATAGACTGAGTCTGTTTTCAAACAGTACTCACATGCTTAGATGTACACTAAAGTTTTTATAATTTAATTGCTAGTTGGCCCTAAAGAGATCCTTCTTAAGCCACATCTACACCGCAAACGCCGTGGGTTTTAGATGCGTCACACACCCGATACATTCCTGTATTAATCACTCCAGCTGTCTACATTGCCCACATGTCGACTTGCATATCACTTGTGCTTTACATGCGTAGTGTCAAATTTTTCAGAGATGCACGTGTAAAATGCTCCACAGAATCAAAAACAATGAAAGCTAACTAGTTCCAACCAGAACTCCACCAAAACAAAGAAATACATTCATGTAAACACAGTTGAAACAAATGATCTATCAGCTGTTAAATCAATCCCACTGAAGTATACACATAAATATATGAGTACTATGTTAAGACAGTTGACTGAAAAGCAGTCAAAATCCCAGCAGTATAAGCCAAAAAGAAACGGCACAAATGCCAGTAAACATGGCTCATATTATTCATTTTCAGCAGTGATTAGATTACTTCAAAGTTAAACATTTTTCATTTAGTGTTTGACTTTTGTCTAACTACGGTTTTTTTTTACCTGCGTAGTCTGCTTTTCTCTTCAGTGTTAAATAACTATAAAAATATGTCTATTAGGTTATCAACGATAACCGCAGTGACACTGAGCGCGGTTCAGAAGTCGAGCCTGACACATCCACAGAAGACCTCAAGACCTCTCCTGATTCTGTCAAAGGAGAAAATGGCTACTATTCTGCTGCTAAAGCCTCAGCACAGAACCACGGCAGCTGGTGACATGGAGCCTGAAGCTGGGAGCAGTTTGTCCCCTCGCATCTCAGGAGCTTTGTCTTATGACGTTCCTCTGTCATGCAAGGCTCACACCCACATAATCTACTACTATCACATTGAGTGTGCACAGATTCACGTCCTGGTAAACAAATGATGGATATACGAACATTGGCTTTGAAGGGCCCTGTAATGACATGTACTACAACTCTAGAGGTGACCTGTAAATGCTGAAATGACATGGAAATGAACTGAAGCAAATGATTTACATAGCCTTATTTGTCAAATAATGGAATACATTTTGTGCTGAGTTTGGCTGCAGTTGCTAGTTTCAGTGTTCTCTCCCAGTTTTAATGGCCAGGTGAACTCGAGTATTTTTGTTTCTCATGGTTAATTCACATGGGATCACATAGGGTGGGCAATAGCTGCTGGGGTGTGTTTGAACCTTTCAATCACATCACAGCAGGTATAACACTGAAATAACTGTTATGGCTGTTTTATCAGCTTTTAAAAGCAAGTCACTTGCTGTGTGTGCATGACGAAGTACAACACACTTGAAATTAAACAGCAGTTTCTGCCCTTTGTGGTTTTTTGTGTAGTTATCCTTTAACCATGTTGACTGCTTTGTGATGTATTGTTTTTTTTCTGTTTTACTTTTTTTTCCCCTTTACTTCTGCTGAGACCAAATGCTTCCTGTAAATTTCTTCATGTCACTGCCTACAGGTCAATCAAGGTATGAGGACCATGCTACATACTTGGTATCATGTTTTGACTTGAGTGCCTCGTAAAAATCTATTTTCAAATATATTTTGTGTTGAAAGATCTCTTTGTTATTGCAGCACTATTTAAAGACTTAACTACACTGTGTGGTTAAAGGAATTTATTATAATACAAACAATTGCAGCCCTCTTTACTCCTGAGCCAGTACCACCCCAAACATGGCTTTCACACAGATGCAAATTGATGCAAATAATGCATTCTTGGCTAATTTGCATGGGGAAGTTTCTCATAAACCATCTTCCTTGTGAGGGCACAAAATACCCCCACAATGATACCACACAATTATCCCAAGAAAAATAAGGAAGGAACAAGAAATATCCACATCTCTGCAAAAAAAGTTCAGTCGGCCTTAACAGCATCAAGATCCTGGCTTATTGCTGCCAGTTTCAGCTGTTTTTGCCTCTGCCAGTAGCGGTATCCTCGGATCGCACACAGGTAGCCTCCATACACCGTCAGCAGCATCATCGAGGCAGAAAAAGTGCGATAGCCGATGTCGGCCAGGCGCTTCCTAGACACCATGATGAGGATCCTGAAGGAACAAGAACAGAAAGT